AGTTCTTGCTGCGAGCTATCTCAGCAAATGAAGTGCTGCAGGAGCTCAATGCACTAAGGAAGTGGACTTGATATTTAATACATCGGAAAAAATGTGACGCGTAATGCTGATATGCTCGCAGTACATGTGCCGCAGTCCCGAGCTGGAAATTGACGTAGGATTGCCGTTTGGCACAAATCTCACAGTATTGTCTTGTTCTGAAAGTGTGAACCAGTCTCTTCCATACTACCGTTCTTAAGGAACTTACGAACAGATGCCGAACGTATTTAGTTATAACGCAGAAGACGGAGCGCTAGCTGTGACAGAGAGAGCGATGGTGTAACAGACGCTCACTGTTGTTCTTCGTGACCACACAAACAATCACATTGTCCAAAAGATAAGCGAATTGCAGGATATCAGTACGACTGCGTGAAAGTGCAAAATCCTTTCGGCAGGACATATTGTTCACTTTGCCGACAACCAGTAAATACTGCTCATCAGTGAATGTTACCCTCGAATAAACAATCACTCGGTCAGACTTCGAAGAGGTGGCTCATTTACTGAAAAGGCAGTGCATATTAATTAGAGGTATGCATCTCAGGATCGAAGGACCGGACATATGGACGCATTCCAGTACTATCAATAACTGGGTGCCAATAATATTTGCCCTGGCAGTCCTGTTGTTTCTCATATAATGTCAAGAAAAAATGACGTATTTAACAAAAAAGAGTGGTACGCTGCTTGTTAGCTGTCTGCAGCAGTCTATCGGTCAAGAAAATAAGCTGAGGAATAAAAATTCTCTTCAGCAATGCTTGTTGATATGCTATTGCTCAGGATGTTGCTCTTATTTTTATTCAAGGTGAATCGTTAGGCTAATTTTTTTTTTCTTCAGAATTAATTTCCGTCAGATTGATCAACAAGTAGTGAGCGATTTTGACGCAAATGTGCTGTCGAAATTCCAGAACTTTTTTGACTGGGTGAAAGAGGAAACGATTAAAGCGGAGAATATTACTCGCAACAAGTGGGCTGTTCGTTCACCATTTTCATAAATCTAATAGCCTTTGGTTGGCATTTCAATATTTTGTTTGGCTGCCTTTCGCCGCCTGCATTTTTATGTTACTGCTACAGTTAGCAACGTTCCACAACTGAAATACCATAAATTGCCTTAACCTGGTTGCGAAACTACTGGCAATTGTGGTGCTCCTTTTTTTCATTCCTTCTTTCAGGAGAGAGATTTTAAGATCTTATCCGATCGTTCATGGTCTGTCAGCCCTCTTATTAGCGATTTTTTTACTTTTAAAAAGGTGCAGCCGCCCAATGGCAACCAATAAATCCTTTATTCCATTCGTCTCTGCTAACCCAAATATCGCTAAAAACTCAGGCTCTCAGGTGCTTATAAAATTTCTAACGAGACCAACCTTGGGAGCAGAGATGCTCGAGGTTATATCTGGAAGCTAGGGATGTCTCTGATTTAGCAGTCAGCGTCAATCAAAAAATTTCTTAATCGGGCCAATCGGTCCAGAAAAATTTGAAGACTTCACCACATCTGTGGGTGAAATTAACTTTTTCAAAACGGGGTGCAAAATGTGTTTGAAATTAGGATTTTCACACAGTGTTTGAAATTAAGATTTTCAGAACGGGGCGCAAAGTCTTACTAAGGAGCGAATTTGAAAAGGAGATGAAGTTTTTCAATCGACAAAGAAAAAGTCTCTTACAATTAATTTCGACTCAGGGAGTTCGTAAAGGAAAACGGTGTGTTACTTCAGTCAAAATAAGTCGCTTCTGCTGAAAGAATTTAGTTTTGTAGTTTTTGCCACTGTGGGGCAGATGATCGAAACTTATCTTATGAAAGTGAAAATTCTATCAAAAGATCATTTTGCTTCCGTCTGCAGTTCAAATCC